TCACTGCCTTATGACCGGAACATTGTGGACACCTGTTGTCCTTTAGGGACTTGATCTCACTCTCCTCAACTGTATATATTAGCCATGTCAAGTATAACTCCTGAGTATGTACTCACCCCTGAAGATGTGAATTACACGAAAGCGCTTGGGAACTTCGTGTTTTCTTGTTTCCTTATGATAATCAGCATATACTTGGATCACGCGCACCTACAGTGATTTACTTCCACACACACACATATATATATATATATATATATATATATATATATATATATATATATATATATATATATATATATATATATATATATATATATATATATATATATATATATATATATATATATATATATATATATATATATATATATATATATATATATATATATATATATATATATATATATATATATATATATATATATATATATATATATATATATATATAAATTCAGCAATGGACTTGTTACGTAGAAAGCGTAGTTTTATAACGAAGAGGAGAACCAGCGAAAACACAAACATCTTGACCAAGTTAGGCTTCTTTTAATGGCTAACGTTTCGGAAATAATCATTTTCCATCATCAGAGCCTAGAAAACAAAAGTTTTGAAAAAGTTTTAAAAAATTCAGGTGATATACAATAAAAACATAACATTATACGAAAATTTACCTACGATAAAAAAAAGAAAAAGAAATCCAATTTAAAACCGACAAAAATGACGAGAGACCTACATACAAAGCTAAAATCAGGAATAAAAAGTGTGAAATAATTCAGACGAGCCTTAGTACGAAAAAACAACAATTCACAAGAGGCCATATCACAAATGGATGGCTAGTCTTTATACTGGTGTAATCCTTCCCTAATGAGGAGGTCCGTCTCACAGTCGCTCCTGCCAAGAACTGAGAAATCGGACGGCGAAAACGGGTGGTCATGTTGGTGGGCGTTTTTACGAATATCTGAATGTGGTGGATGTGTGATTAACTAGCCTCTTCGAACGGAACGGCCCAAGTGTTCATGGATATATATATATGTATATATATATGTGTATATATCTATATATATGAATATATATATATATATATATATATATATATATATATATATTTTTTTTTTTTTTTTTTTTTTATATATATATATATATATATATATATATATATATATATATATATATATATATATATATATATATATATATATATATATATATATATATTTCATTAATAATAGCACGGACTTCTACATACAATCAACACCTCAACCCGCCGGAGTTTCGAACATTCGAACCCACGGCCCACTAGCCCCATGAGCTATGGACAGTCCCTAAAGATGGTTGGCCCTAAACCTGGTGTTTCCAAATGCTGCTTTCATAGACAGTTCTATATTTGAATGCTCCCAGAGTAGGAACTGGCAAAAAATCTAATATATACTTGCTGCTAATGGCAAAAATCAAAATTTATATATATATATATATATATATATATATATATATATATATATATATATATATATATATATATATATATATATATATCAACACCTCAACCCGCCAGGATTCGAACCCGGCCACAAGCCCATGACTGTGACAGTCATTGGCTCGTGGAGTCGTAGATTCAGGCATCCTAATATGAACAAGTATGTACAGTAAGTCCGCTTGTTTATTGGAGCTAATAAATATATATATATATATATATATATATATATATATATATATATATTTATATATATATATATATATATATATATATATATATATATTTTATATATATATATATATATATATATATATATATATATATATATATATATATATATATATATATATATATATATATATATATATCAGAGTCGATAGACGAGCTTTCTGTGAGAAATATAACAGTCTAGGACTGCTTTTTGAGTGTCTTTGTGGGTTGATGGTAGCACTCCTAGGTCACAGTAGGTCAAGGGTTCGAGTCCTGGCTGGTGAGGTCCACCTGTTTATATGGACTAAAAATAGACTATATATATATATATATATATATATATATATATATATATATATAAATATTTATATATATATATATACATAATATTCTGGTAGTTTTAGAAAGGTACATTTACCACTGATATGACACGCCATTAAATCGTGCCACACACTGTTGTTAACACACTAAGATCTTGTTACAACCTTGCATGGCCACCTTCTTATATTGGCAGTGTTACTGATAGTTCCAGCCTTTCACCACTTACCACTCAAGCCCTCACAAACCAGATGACTTTTACGAATTACTATTACTGGACATTAACGAGGATCCTAAAAGACTGGTACTGTCCGCCTGCAATACCCGCTTTATCTGAGGTGTGTTTTTGTGTTATTGCTTGTCACTGCTGGCCTAGCTTGGTTGGTACTAAAAGCTGTTGAAAAAAAGTAATATCGATGCTTATAAAATATTCGGTTAAATTAGTGAAACTCCTCCGTTATAACCTCCAGCCACGCTACAATTATCTTTGGCGTTTAGCCTAAGACACAGCGATGATGAAATTGTTACTTGATCCACACAACAATTACAATCAATAATATTCGTTTCTTTCATATTTGTAGAGTCAAAGTAGTAAGTATTAACTTGACAGTTGTAGTAAACTAAATATTTCACATTTTCTATTTCGTTTTATCATTCGTGTACCTGTGACAGTTATAGTTTACTGGTGGGATAAAAATACTTGGCCTTTCGATCGCACACTAGGTAAACAACAACACCCACTGTACGAAAGCAGGAGTTACAGCGACAGTAACAAGTCAGAAGATACAAGGATAACAAGGAGGCCAAGAGCTGGAGGAGGGTTCACCAGAATACCAAGGAGAATTCCATATTGGTCCCGGCTTGGCCCCATCTCTCTCTCTCTCTCTCTCTCTCTCTCTCTCTCTCTCTCTTTCTGATACATAATAGGTTCTAAGCAAATGACAAAATTTCACACATGGGTGTAATGGCCATATAGCTGATATCAGATCAGTCAGGAGATGGTTTATTAAGAGCCCAAATTTAACATAAATATAATTTAGATAATGCTTTTATATAAGTTGTTGGCCAAGGAAAATAGGCAGTTAATGTTACAATTGTTACCCTTTACAATTAGGCCTGGTTATACCGACAAAACATAATTATTAGTTGCGGGTTGTAAAGGGGAGCCACATTGAATGGTGGTGAGGCCATACTGCAGGAGATTAGCAAAAACTCTCCGTTTCAACTGTCACTGGGCCGGGGCAGAAGGAATGATAATGAATCGGTAACGACACAATACCCCGGTTGCTCGAGGCTGATGGTGAAAAATCATGTAAATTACCAACGAGGGTTCGCATCTATATAACTTAATCCGAAATTTCCTCGACGTCTGGTAGTTAGAACTTACGAGGCTGGTTCTTCGAGACGACCAATTGAATGCTTACGATTGTTTAATCGTCGATAACTAGTGGTTTATAGCCGAAATGCCCAATAGCTAACCCGTAATTTTCTCAAAAGATCAACTTTATCAAGTGAGTTATTTGAGGTAAACAGTCCGGCTAGACCTTCTGAGATACACTCGCCTAACAAGAGTGTGCTCGCAGGCCGGAACCAGATTTTTAAAAGTTAAATATTTAGACAATTAATAGACGGCTTTAGAGAAGAGAGGCAGTTTAAATCCAATAAAACATTACTCCAAAAATAACTGACATACTAGTCCCGTAAAGCATTAACTCTCCGCATAAATATAAAGAACTAGAGCAATCATAGATCAATTGGGATAACATTTTGCAATTTAGATGATCTTTTATGGTTCATGACACAATTATCTTCAGCCAACCTCTCACCCAGACCGTTAAGACTATTAAGATTGATAGATAATTCAGTTTTGATGACGAAAATGGAACATAATTTAGACGAGATACCAACAATTTCCGGTAAACTATAAGAGATTTTGGGCTTTCACTTCAGGTCTCGCAGATAACATCACCATCAATCTCACTGCTAACATCACCATCAGTTTCACTGTTAAACATCACCATCAATTTCACTGTTAACATCACCATCAGTCTCATTGTTAACATCACCATCAGTCTCACTATTAACATCACCATCAGTCTTACAGTTAATATCACCATCAGTCTCACTGTTAATATCGCCATCAGTCTCCCTGTTAATATCCCCATCAGTCTCACTGTTAATATCACCATGAGTCTCACTGTTAATATCCTCATCAGTCATACAGTTAACATCACCATCAGCCTCACTGTTAATTTCACCATCAGTCTCACTACTAATATCCCCATCAGTCTCACTGTTAATATCACTATCAATCTTACTGTTAACATCACCATCAGTCTCACTGTTAATATCCCCACCAGTCTCACTGTTAACATCACCATCAGTCTCACTGTTAACATCACCATCAGTCTCACTGTTAATATCCCCATCAGTCTCATTGTTAATATCCCCACCAGTCTCACTGTTAACATCACCATCAGTCTCACTGTTAATATCCCCATGAGTCCTACAGTTAACATCACCATCAGTCTCACTGTTAATATCACTATCAATCTTACTGTTAACATCACCATCGATCTCACTGTTAATATCACCAGTTTACTGTTAATATCCCATAAGGTCCTACAATTAACATCACCATCAGTCTCACTGTTAATATCCCATGATCTCACTGTTAATATCCCCATCACTCTTCCAGTTAATATCACCATCAGTCTTACTGTTAATATCACCATCAGTTTCTGTTAATATCACCATCAGTATGACTGGTAACATCATAACAATCTCCTGTTAGCACGCTGCCATCAGTCTCACTGTTAACATCACCATCAGTCTCACGGTTAATATCCTCATCAGTCTCACTGTTAATATCACCATCAGTTTCACTGTTAATATCCACATCAGTCTCACTGTTAACATCACCATCAATCTCACTGTTAATATCCCCATCATTCTCACTGTTAACATCACCATCAGTCTCACTGTTAATATCAACATCAGTCTAACTGTTAACATCACCGTCAGTCTCACTGTAAATATCACCATCAGTCTCACTGTTAATATCCCCATCAATCTCACTGTTAACATCACCATCAGTCTCACTGTTAATATCACCATCAGTCTCACTGTTAACATCACCGTCAGTCTCACTGTTAATATCACCATCAGTCTCACAGTCAATATCCCCATCAGTCTCATTGTTAACATCACCATCAGTCTCGCTGTTAACATCACCATCAGTCTCACTGTTAATATCCCCATCAGTCTCACTGTTAACATCACTATCAATCTCACTGTTAATATCAACATCAGTCTCACTGTTAATATCCCCATCAGTCTCACTGTTAACATCACCATCAGTCTAACTGTTAATATCCCCATCAGTCTCACTGTTAACATCAACATTAGTCTTACAGTTAATATCACCATAAATCTTACAGTTAACATCACCATCAGTCTCACTGTTAATATCACCAACAGTCTCACTTTTAACATCACCATCAGTCTCACTGTTAATATCATCATTAGTCTCACTGTAATTTCCCCACCAGTCTTACAGTTAACATCACTATCAGTCTCATTGTTAATATCACCATCAGTCTCACTGTTAATATCGCCATCAGTCTTGGAGTTAACATCACCTTCAGTCTCACTGTTAATATCACCATTAGTCTCAATGTTAATATCCCCATCAGTCTTAGAGTTAACATCACCATCAGTCTCACTGTTAACATCACCATCAGTCTCACTGTCAATATCCCCATCAGTCTCATTGTTAACATCACCATCAGTCTCACTGTTAACATCACCATCAGTCTCACTATTAATATCCCCATCAGTCTCACTGTTAACATCACTGTCAATCTCACTATTAACATCACCATCAGTCTCACTGTTAATATCCCCATCAGTCTCACTGTTAACATCAACATCAGTCTCACTGTTAACATCACCATCAGTCTCACTGTTAATATCCCCATCAGTCTCATTGTTAATATCCCCACCAGTCTCACTGTTAACATCACCATCAGTCTCACTGTTAATATCCCCATGAGTCCTACAGTTAACATCACCATCAGTCTCACTGTTAATATCACTATCAATCTTACTGTTAACATCACCATCAGTCTCACTGTTAATATCCCCACCAGTCTCACTGTTAATATCCCCATGAGTCCTACAATTAACATCACCATCAGTCTCACTGTTAATATCCCATCAGTCTCACTATTAATATCCCCATCACTCCTACAGTTAATATCACCATCAGTCTTACTGTTAATATCACCATCAGTTTCACTGTTAATATCACCATCGGTATGACTGTTAACATCACCAACAATCTCACTGTTAACATCACCATCAGTCTCACTGTTAACATCACCATCAGTCTCACGGTTAATATCCTCATCAGTCTCACTGTTAATATCACCATCAGTTTCACTGTTAATATCCACATCAGTCTCACTGTTAACATCACCATCAATCTCACTGTTAATATCCCCATCAGTCTCACTGTTAACATCACCATCAGTCTCACTGTTAATATCACCATCAGTCTCACTGTTAACATCACCGTCAGTCTCACTGTTAATATCACAATCAGTCTCACTGTTAATATCCCCATCAATCTCATTGTTAACATCACCATCAGTCTCACTGTTAATATCACCATCAGTCTCACTGTTAACATCACCGTCAGTCTCACTGTTAATATCACCATCAGTCTCACTGTCAATATCCCCATCAGTCTCATTGTTAACATCACCATCAGTCTCGCTGTTAACATCACCATCAGTCTCACTGTTAATATCCCCATCAGTCTCACTGTTAACATCACTATCAATCTCACTGTTAATATCACCATCAGTCTCACTGTTAATATCCCCATCAGTCTCACTGTTAACATCACCATCAGTCTAACTGTTAATATCCCCATCAGTCTCACTGTTAACATCAACATTTGTCTTACAGTTAATATCACCATAAATCTTACAGTTAACATCACCATCAGTCTCACTGTTAATATCACCAACAGTCTCACTTTTAACATCACCATCAGTCTCACAGATAACATCACCATCAATCTCACTGCTAACATCACCATCAGTTTCACTGTTAAACATCACCATCAATTTCACTGTTAACATCACCATCAGTCTCATTGTTAACATCACCATCAGTCTCACTATTAACATCACCATCAGTCTTACAGTTAATATCACCATCAGTCTCACTGTTAATATCGCCATCAGTCTCCCTGTTAATATCCCCATCAGTCTCACTGTTAATATCACCATGAGTCTCACTGTTAATATCCTCATCAGTCATACAGTTAACATCACCATCAGCCTCACTGTTAATTTCACCATCAGTCTCACTACTAATATCCCCATCAGTCTCACTGTTAATATCACTATCAATCTTACTGTTAACATCACCATCAGTCTCACTGTTAATATCCCCACCAGTCTCACTGTTAACATCACCATCAGTCTCACTGTTAACATCACCATCAGTCTCACTGTTAATATCCCCATCAGTCTCATTGTTAATATCCCCACCAGTCTCACTGTTAACATCACCATCAGTCTCACTGTTAATATCCCCATGAGTCCTACAGTTAACATCACCATCAGTCTCACTGTTAATATCACTATCAATCTTACTGTTAACATCACCATCAGTCTCACTGTTAATATCCCCACCAGTTTCACTGTTAATATCCCCATGAGTCCTACAATTAACATCACCATCAGTCTCACTGTTAATATCCCATCAGTCTCACTGTTAATATCCCCATCACTCTTACAGTTAATATCACCATCAGTCTTACTGTTAATATCACCATCAGTTTCACTGTTAATATCACCATCAGTATGACTGTTAACATCACCAACAATCTCACTGTTAACATCACCATCAGTCTCACTGTTAACATCACCATCAGTCTCACGGTTAATATCCTCATCAGTCTCACTGTTAATATCACCATCAGTTTCACTGTTAATATCCACATCAGTCTCACTGTTAACATCACCATCAATCTCACTGTTAATATCCCCATCATTCTCACTGTTAACATCACCATCAGTCTCACTGTTATATATCAACATCAGTCTAACTGTTAACATCACCGTCAGTCTCACTGTAAATATCACAATCAGTCTCACTGTTAATATCCCCATCAATCTCATTGTTAACATCACCATCAGTCTCACTGTTAATATCACCATCAGTCTCACTGTTAACATCACCGTCAGTCTCACTGTTAATATCACCATCAGTCTCACTGTCAATATCCCCATCAGTCTCATTGTTAACATCACCATCAGTCTCGCTGTTAACATCACCATCAGTGTCACTGTAAATATCCCCATCAGTCTCACTGTTAACATCACTATCAATCTCACTGTTAATATCACCATCAGTCTCACTGTTAATATCCCCATCAGTCTCACTGTTAACATCACCATCAGTCTAACTGTTAATATCCCCATCAGTCTCACTGTTAACATCAACATTAGTCTTACAGTTAATATCACCATAAATCTTACAGTTAACATCACCATCAGTCTCACTGTTAATATCACCAATAGTCTCACTTTTAACATCACCATCCGTCTCACTGTTAATATCCCCATCAGTCTCACTGTTAACATCACCATCAGTCTCACTGTTAATATTATCATTAGTCTCACTGTAATTTCCCCACCAGTCTTACAGTTAACATCACCATCAGTCTCATTGTTAATATCACCATCAGTCTCACTGTTAATATCGCCATCAGTCTTAGAGTTAACATCACCTTCAGTCTCACTGTTAATATCACCATTAGTCTCAATGTTAATATCCCCATCAGTCTCAATGTTAATATCACCATCAGTCTCACTGTTAATATCCCCATCAGTCTTAGAGTTAACATCACCTTCAGTCTCACTGTTAATATCACCATTAGTCTCAATGTTAATATCCCCATCAGTCTCAATGTTAATATCACCATCAGTCTCACTGTTAATATCCCCATCAGTCTTAGAGTTAACATCACCATCAGTCTCACTGTTAACATCACCATTAGTCTCAATGTTAATATCCCCATCAGTCTCAATGTTAATATCACCATCAGTCTCACTGTTAATATCCCCATCAGTCTTAGAGTTAACATCACCATCAGTCTCACTGTTAACATCACCATTAACATGTGAAACTTTTTGTGTGTATCTTCTTCTTCTTCTTCTTCTTCTTCTTCTTCTTCTTCTTCTTCTTCTTCTTCTTCTTCTTCTTCTTCTTCTTCTTCTTCTTCTTCTTGTATTCATCGTCACCCTTCTCCTCCAAGGTTTCCTTTCTCTTATCTTTTTTATCATCTTCTCCCTCCATTTTCTGTTATTTCTTCTTAATTCCCTGCGTCTCTCTCTCTCTCTCTCTCTCTCTCTCTCTCTCCTGGGAGCAAGCTGGGTAACCATCATTACATACACACACTCATACTTGTCTACCAGAGAACAATATAAACTGAAGATTAAGAGTTAAGAGCAGGTAAATACCTTAAGGATGGTGGTCTTCCTGAATTACTGATGGTTGGGTAATGGTGTGTGTGTGTGTGTGTAATGATCTGTATGCTCGTCTCAGTCCCCGAGCAGGGTGAAATTACGGACATGTTTGTTTACACCATTTGCCTTTGTCTACCCAGCAGTATTTGCGGACCTGAATGTTAATCAATTTGAGGATCATGTTCTGGGGTAATGATTAGCCAGTAGAGTTGGTGGATTGTCCGGTCTTCTTGGATTATTCTCTGTCGCTCATTCATGCAATTTCTTAACTTAGTCTGTGTGGGTGTCTTTAAGAATTTACACCTAGATGATGGCACTTGGGCCTGCCAGCTTCGGACACGAGGAACAACTCTTATATTAGGAAGAGGGACTTTGATTTGTGTGTGTGTGTGTGTGTGTGTGTGTGTGTGTGTGTGTGTGGCGGTGTGTAGCCACACACACAGGGTGGTGAAATGCGTCTAGTGTGGCAGTATTATGTTAGTGTTAAAGTGCAAGCACTGCTTGCTCCCTCTCGCTTTCAGCTGCCAGTACACAGCCTCCTCACCATCAAGAATCCTGATGTGCCTTCTCGTGGCAACACACGGTAACTGGGTGCCTCGTGGGCTCAGGATAGATCAGCAGGGGATCTCAGAGTAGCAGTGGGCCCCAGAGGGACGGCGCATAGGCCCACCGGCACGTGGACACGTCCTGGCATCTATCAACCACCGTCACGCTGACTTGCGGATTAACCTTGGCTACTGGAGTAAACCCCGAACGAAAAATCTGCGGTGTGGCCCCGCATCAGGCAGACATACTTACAGAGCTCCAGCAAGACCCCAACGGCGGTGTAGGTGGAAGAGGTGACCACCATGAAAATCCAACGATTACACCGGCGGACGAAGGCAATGCCCGATGGACAGGCTACTAATGCGAAACCCAACAAACTGGGCTATCGGCAGTCCATTGCAACTCTCCCTCTCCCAGTCGTTGCAACACTTGCACCACTAGATCAGGAAAAGGGAGAGCCAAGATGTGTGGTTGCAGCCTGCGCTTCTGCCTTGCCACATAAATCAACTCACGTACAGCCATCACCCACCTCATCATACCTACTGTATCATCATCACCAAAACCCCTAATGCCCCCAAAAGTCATATGGCGACGGACGAGTGGCGACGGGGACAGGCAGAAATGACTGCCGGGTGTCTCTAGTCACAACTCTGCACATGAGCGGCACAGATAAGATGGTCGTTTATGCACTGGGATCTAGGCAGCAGTGTAATCCGGTCATGTCTGTGCGACTGAGCAGCCCTTTCGAGGAGCCACTCTGCTCACCCCACATGGGGAGGGGGCTATAAAAGGTGCCCTAAACATAGCCTGCCTAAAAATGCAACCAGACTGGGCAACTGCACCTTATAAGGTCATCCTTATGCGATGAAAAACACAATCAAAATCACCAATCAAAACAATAACAAACCATACACCTCTTCTGGTCGATGCATGAAATCATCAGGACTCTTCTGGATGCTGGCACAAATGCACGTCCTGAAAGAAGAACTGTCCTTGTGGAAAAAAAGAGCTGGCTAGGTATACCATCGACATAGCAGCCATCAGTGAGTCCCTGCTCCCAGATGAGAACCAACTCACAGAACGGGGATCTGGCTACACCTTCTTCTGAAAGGGTAAGCCTGCTGAGGAGAGAAACAGCATTTATAGAGTTGGCTTTGCCATCCACCAACGCATCCTATACAGGCTAACTGAAATGTCTATTGGGATCAACGCGCACCTCATGACGTTTCGAGTCCCAGTGAATCACTCACGTCAAACCTTCTTCATCAGTTCATATGCAACAACACTGGATGCAGAGGATGACATCAAGGAGGCCTTTTACACTGACCTCGACAGAGTGATAACCTCTATCCCCAGAGAAAACAAGGTTGTGCTCCTTGGCGACTTCAATGCCAGAGTTGGCAGAGATGCTAACATTTGGCAGGGAACCATAGAGAGAAATGTACTAGGCTAGTGTAATCCCGACGGCATACTCCTTGTCAGCAAGTGTGCTACTCACAACCTCACTATCACCAATACCTTGTTTGGGCAGGCCGACAAGTTCAAGGGTTCGTGGCAACACCCACGTTCCAAACACTGGCATCTCATTGACTACATGTCAGAGAAAGAGATCGTCGAGATATCCTCATCACCCGTGCCATGCGTGGCCCAGACCACTATGACACTGATCATCGACTTGTCAAATCCAAGCTCTCACTTCACGTCGCCCCAAAATGGCGAGGGGGCTAGAAAAGGTGCCCTAAACATAGCCAGCCTAAAAAAAAAAACCTGTCTGGGCAACAAAGTCCAGTACGGTCATCCTTTTGCTGTCATAAACTCAATCAAATTCACAAATCCAAACAAAAACAAACTATACAACCTCTTATGGTCGCTGCATGGAATTTCGGGACCCTTCTGGATACTGGCACAAATGAGCGTCCTGAAAGAAGAACTGCTGGCTAGGTATAACATCGACATAACTGACATTAGTGAATCTCGGATCTCAGACAAGGGTCAACACACAGAACGGAGGTCTGGCTATACTTTCTTCTGGAAGGGTAAGCCTGCTGCAGAGAGAAACCGCTTTTATGGAGGTGGCTTTGCCATCCGCCAACGCATCCTACACAGGTTAACTGAAATGCCTATTGAGATCAACGAGCGCCCCATGACGCTCCGAGTCCCAGTGAATCACCCACATCATGCCTCTTCCATCAGCGCATACGCCCCAACACTGAGTGCAGAGGATGACATGAGGAGGCCTTTTACGTAGACTTACACAGAGTGCTAACCTCTATCCTCAGAGAAGATAAGGTTGTGCTCCTTGGTGATTTCAATGCCAAAGTTGGTATAGATGCTGACATTTGACAGGGAACCATTATAAGGAATGGACAAGGAAAGTGCAATCCCAACGGCCTACTCCTCCTCAGCAAGTGTGCTGCACACAACCTCACTATCACCAATACCTTGATTAGGCAGGCTGACAAGTTCAAGGGTTTGTGGGAACACCACGATCCAAACACTGGCATCTTATTGAGTACATCATTGTCAGAGAAAGAGATCGCCGAGATCTCCTCATCACTCGTGCCATGCGTAGCTCAGACCACTGAGACGCTGATCATCGGCTCCATAGAGCCAAGCACTCACTTCACGTCGCCCCAAAACGGCGAAGGCAACAAGCCTTACGAAGAGGTTTTAACACTAAGCATTTGGAGGATCCAGTGGTAGCACATGCTTTCAGAGCGCAGCTCGAACATGGGCTGATAAACAACCCGACAATGAACAATCCAAATCCCAGTGCCGAATGGGATATTCTCAACACTCCTCATTACAAAAACCTGCAGAGAAACCCTCTACCAGATCGAAAGAATACACGAGAACTGGTTTGATGAAAATGACCCAACAATCAATGTACTCATCAGTGATAAAGGTACTGCTTTAACTGACTGGAGGAACAACCCTCAGTCACGGATCAAAGCTGATACCTTCCGCAAGAAAAAAGCGGTAACTTCACATTCTAAAGAATGACTGGTATAAAAATAAAGCATGTAAAATACAAAAAAATGCAGATCAGCACAAGATGTGCGAATTTTCAATTCCATTAAAACATTTTCTAGGCCTATCACTCGTGGGGCAGCATCCCTTCACTCATCCTTCAGCACTGGAAAGAGCAATACCATCCAATGCTCAACCGTAGCACTGATGTGAATGTTCTGACTACCCAGCAGATCCCTCAGCATCTAGAGATGACCCACAGATATCCTCCATTCCTGGATAAGGTAGCTAAGGCCATCAAGCCATCTCTCCTGGAGAATATATGGGGAAAGGAGGAAATCCCCCAAGCTCTTAAAGACGCCTCCATCATCAATATTGATAAGAATAAGGGGGACCGGTCAGACTGTTGGGATCTTGCTGCTGTCCGTAGCTGGCAAGATTTTTGCCTGAGTCCTCCTAAACAGATTTCTTCCTGAGGAGGAAAACTTCTCCTAGAATCTCAATGTGGCTTTAGACCCTCACGTGGCACCACTGACATGATCTTTGCTGCCCACCAGATACAGGAAAAGTGCAGATAACAACGTTGTGACCTGTACAAGGCTTTCATCGACCCAACCAAGGTTTTCGACTCAGTCAACAGGGAAGCCGTTTGTGAGGAAACTCCACAATGGCATGAACGGGAGTGTCCTGTATATTGGTACCCAGTCTGAGTTCTTCCCCATTCAAACGAGGGTTAAACAAGGGTGTGAACTGGCACCAACTCACTTTTCCATTTCCTTGGCTGCCTTCCTTACTCGTGCCAGTGCCAATTTAGCCGGTGGGATGGACATCGAGTACCGGGTGAAGGGGGGTATTTTCAACATAAGACGACTCCAGGCAATAACAAAGGTGTCAGCAGCTTCCATTAATAAACTTCAGTATACAGACGACTTCACTCTTGTTGCTCACACTGAACGCGACATACAGGAGATCCTGAACACATACGCAGATGCGTATGCACATTTCGGCCTTGAGGTGAATGTACGTAGGACTCAGATTCTCTTTCAACCTGCCCCTGGTTAAGACACACCTTCACCATCCATCCATCTTAACGGTACTACCCTCTCTAATGTTACT